GTATTAGATAAATTTCAGTAAGTGTGTTCAATACTTTTTCCCTGTGCCATTCCACATTATTACAAATAACTTCATTCATCATTTCATCTGGACATTTATGGTTTGATTTCTTTGTATGTATGGATCACTTGGGTTGTTACCAACATCTGGTGAAAATTTCATGTCATTAGCACCTCTAGTGCTAATGACTTTACTGAGCTAATTTGCTTTACTGAGAAAAATGGTGACGTGTTCAATATTTATTTTACCCACTGTACATGCAACTGAAACAGGTAGCCCAGTGCATCGTTAATAATAACATTATAGTCATTATAGCCATTGCACACCAAYTTTGGAGTGGTGACCTCCCCAAAAATGTAATTTTGGACATTTAAGCTGCTCACTTTTAATCAGTATTTTTACTTTTAATATTTAAGTACATTTTATGTCTGAAATTTACTTTCAATACTTAAGTACAGTAATTGTCAGATACTTTAAGACATTTACTCAAACAATATTCTTAGAGAAGACTTTAACGTTCACCAAAGTAATTTTATGATTACCAGTAGATACTTGTACTTACATATTGCTTTGAGGTTCTTTATACAACATTGCTTCCACATGATCCTTTACAGAAAGTCAAATACAAAATGAAGGGCTGGCTGGATGGTTTGCATGTAAGAAAACTGGAGCTGTGTCTTTTGTATCTTTGTTTATATTATAAATAAATTTTAGAAAAACAATTAATTTGATTTTGACTTGTGTAGTGATATACACCTTATAACAAAAGTCATAAGGAATTTTTCACAAGTTTTCTTATTTTCAGGAAGTAACTTCTTTATGCAAAATTGAAAGACAAACACAATAAGATGAGCGCACTCAGTGATTTTAGTTTGATCGAATAATAAACAAGTACAATGAACAAGTTTCTCCCTTTTGGCTTTAATCTGCAGTTTTCTCCACTAGAAAAGGCAGCTTGAATTAGACAATTTTGAACTGTAGGCTTCACTTAATGGCCAAGAATTAATTTATGTTGCTAATCTTTGGTTCTTTTAAATGTTTTCTCTTTTTAACCAGTTGCACGGAGGGTTATGTTGGTCAATTCTGCAACTGCTCCATTGGGAAGAAAGATGAACAAACGCTGCGGGCATCCTGTAAGAAGGACACCGGTACCGAGTGTGAGGGTCGAGGCGACTGTGTGTGTGGAATTTGTTACTGCCATAAAACAGAGAAAGGGAAGAGTTACTACGGTCCATTCTGCGAGTGTGATGATGAACACTGTGAGAAGTTTGATAATAAACAATGTGCAGGTAAACTTCAACTTAATGCAACACATTCTGTAGTACAGTATTTACATGCTTTACAGTTTAATTGAAAAAAAATTCCCATTGTGTGCATAAACACCCAGCTTGTCTTATTTTTCTACATGTGCAGGCCCTTTACTGGAGGCCCGGGAGTTTGAGGGTTCAGCGTGGTATTTTAAGGGTTTTTAGATTGTGCTCTTCTGGATACACATTTTTTGTTGTTGTTTAGTTTAGATTAGATTATAGACCTTTATTGTCATCGTACAGAGCACAATGAAATTACAGTTCAGAACACCTATTCAGAAGAAGACAGAATATAACAAACATAGAACAGGTGCTCTGGGTCAAGCAGCCACAGACCCTGCACAGAACAAGGATCATCTTCATGGAGACATCATGAGGAGGCACTACCCTTAAAAGAAAAAAACTAAAAACCACACAAGGGAAGATGAGGGAAAAAAAACATCATATTATATCAACAATGTGACACACTATGGTGTTTATAAAAAAAACCTCTGCATAGAGCACATTTATTAGCCAGAAGAGTAAGTGAGTTTAGGGGGGTGTGTATCTGAAGCCATGAGTGTTGTATGCACTTGTGTGAATATCTGAAGAATGAGCCCAAAGAATTGAGTCCCCAAAACCAGCACAGCCTTAGTCCAGAATATTGATATTAATTGTTCATTCTGTGCGGCCTTCAGCCTGCTCCAGGAACCACATCACAGACGGGTGTGTGTGTGTGTGTGTGTGTGTGGGGGGGGGGACCACCCTCAGTTGATATAAACATCCAGGAAGAATTTAATCCAGCAGCTCTCAAGGCCATGTAGTGGAAAGCCAGATTCTGTAATCAGTTGTTTTGGGAACAGAAGAGTCAGGCAGACGATAACAAATTCCCATCTGCTGTCCGCTGGTACAACTCAATGTGGCGAATCCAATCAAACAAATAATGTGGACAAATTCCACCGAGCCGATCTACCAGCTTTCTCCAAGATCAATTCCAATCTGGCCAGCAAAGTCCAGGAACCACAGCAGGCCTGTGACCCTCAGCAGAACCGCTTGCAGACCGAATCCAGCTCRCTCAAGGCAAAATGTCCGAGTGCTGATAGAATACAGACATTCATCAAATTGGTCAGTCAGCCAGGAAATGAAAAGCCATCGACGCTGTTTTGTAAAAACACCCGGAGACCACCAAGCCAATCTGTAGAATCCAGTGATCAGAATCCAAATATATATCCAGAACAGAGCAGAACACAGGTCCCACCTTTGACATGTCCTCCCATGGAAGAAAAAAACTTTGTTCCAAAAAAATTATTAAGAGACCAGCTAACCAAATCCATAAAAATAAAATTATCCATAACTCCTGGTTTCAGATGAAAATGTAGAGAAGGCTCCAAGCAGCAAAGCAGGGAAGATAAGGGAGGGCAGGAGAGATGGAGAAAGCATCTTGCTCCTCTGAGAGCGGAACAAAAAAATAAATAAATAAAAATTATGGGATCTGTTTAAGCCACTATTCTACTTTGGGGGTTACAGCACCAAGTGCTCCGAGGACTACTGACACTACTGAAGTGTCGACTCTCCACAACTTCTCTATTTCCATCCATTACAGACCCTACTTCTCTTGTGYTGCCATTAGTGCCTCTATGTTGTCCTTCAGTCCAGCCCTCTCTAGCCACTGGTAGGATTTGTAGATATCAGCCACTTCTTTAGGTGGCTGTGGCTGAGTGATTAGGGCAGTCAGCCTTCAATAACAGAGCTGGCGGTTCAATTCCCCCTTTTTCAGTCACATGTCGAAGTGTCCTTGGCCAAGATGCAGAACCCCCACTGCTTCTGATGTGTGTCCCACCAGTGTATGAATACAGTCTCAAGCTTCTGTCAACCAGTAACTGATGCCTCACGTGTTGATCCAGAAACCTATTTATCTTTGCCACTGTAATGTCAGACAGGAGCTTCCATGTTTTACAAAGGCTGATAGTTACTATAGTTAGAATTGTACCTTTATTTTATTTCAAAAACAACTTCAGGTAGCCAACACTGATTCTATTCTTCATTTCTTACTATCTTCAGGAAATGGTGAATGCAAATGTGGACGATGTAAATGTTACGATGGTTTTGACGGTTCTGCCTGTCAGTGCCAGACATCTGATCAGAGCTGTCGTACAATAAACAACACCGTGTGTTATGGCAGAGGGACCTGCAAGTGTAACTTTTGTGAATGCAAGGAGGGATACCAGCGGCCATTCTGCGAGAAATGCCTTGGGTGTTCTGATCCATGCAGTACCAAATTGTAAGGACATACTTCACTTACAGTAGTTCTTTTTTAGTTCTAGTGTAGATTTATTCATCCAGGACATGGCAAATCTAAAATGTTTTTTTACAAAGAAACTTTATTTTTGTTTCAATTATAGTTTATTAATTAAAGGTTATAAATGGTTTTTTTTTATTAAACTTTATGAATTTTTTTTTCATATATTGGCATTTATAGAAACTCCAGTACGGACCAGTTTTCACATGTGACTTTAAACTGTTTTCGTTCATCTTGTTTTTCAGGACCTGCATTGAATGCCTTGGTTTTGGCTCTGGGCCTTTGAAAGAAAAATGCAGTGCTGCTTGCAACATTAGTCATCAGATTGTAGACAAGTTCAGTATTTCAGGTAATGAGTGCTACCAGAAGGACAGTGAGGGATGCTGGATCAAATTCAAATTGGAGCAGCTGGTCGGTGAGGATAACTACTTCGCTGAAATACTGGAAGAAAAAGGTACTTTGATTTTCATTTATTTATACCACAAAATTCAAACTATACAGAACTGAGTCAGTTCAGCTTTTTTACTGAAGTCTGCTAATGTAAGAAAAAAATAAAGATTCATCAAAGTTACTAGAATTCATTCATCATAAATTTTCTGAATGCCATAGTGCTTTATGCTATGGCTACTGAGTTATCAAACAGGTTTAAATACAAATTTTTAAGTGGTTCAGTGGGTTGAAAAGTCTTGATTTTATTGCCTTACAATGTGGAAATTATTTGGATTTGAATTTATTTGTAACGATTAACTTTACAAAGATATTACAGATTAATCGAGTTAAATGGGAAAACTTATTTTACATGACAAATATATCCGAAACAGTACAGTATAGTACAAAACAACTTTTGCAGCGGTTACAAGAGCAAGTGTTTCCAGGGTCTGTCTTTATAATCTTGGTCCATCTAACCAGGGGCCTCACRTACAAAGGCTTGCATGGATTTCTTACTGAAACGCCGCGTACGATCAAATCCAGGGGCTTCATGCATAAACGGTGCATACACATAAAAAGGTTGCGYATGCCAGGTTTCACACACACATTGGGATGTATCAAAACTGCGTGAAAGGTCGCGTAAATATACCCACACTTTTCACCTGCTGCACTCTAAAAATGAAGTGTTGAATTTACTCAACCAAGTCCTGTCAACTGACTCCACCAAGTCTAGTCGAGTAAACTGAGCAAAGAATATACACATGCTGAATTTACTCAACCTGGTTTAGTGGAACCAGTTTGGTTCAGTAAATTCAACAATTTACTTCTTAGACAGTGTATAAAAGTACTTTTACTTTCCCAATTTTTGTGAACAGTTTTATGACTTGAGTAGTTTTCTCATCAGTGAAATTTATTTTTACCAAAGTCATTTTCTGTTCATTTAATTTTATTTTTAGGTATTTTTTCAAGTACTTTATAGATCTCTGACATTCTTATTTAGGGTTGGGCATAATCGTATCGTGTGCAATTAATCGCCAGAAAAACATTAATCGATTATTTTTTGGCACTTGATGATTAAKACGRTTAMTGCCAACAGGCAGACTGACTGAAGATTTCTCCAGTCAGTCCACTTGGTGCTCCTCTCCACTTCGAATGTGACGAACATTTAAAAAAGTTCTGTAATTTATTTATCTACCAACACAATTTAAAATTTGATGTATATCCTGAAGTCTGTAATTTTGACACAATTTGGAACAGATTTTTTACAAAAAGCAAGTCTTTCCCACTAAATTGGTCATGTGACCAGGACATAAGGATGTACCGGGACTCCAGGGGATTAATCGTCAAATGAATCGTTATCGGCTAAATACCACAATTAGTCGTGATTTATTTTTTTGCCAATATTGCCCAACCCTAATATTGGTCATGTGACCAGGACATAAGGATGTACCGGGACTCCAGGGGATTAATCGTCAAATGAATCGTTATCGGCTAAATACCACAATTAATCATGATTTATTTTTTGCCAATATTGCCCAACCTTATTCTTTTTTTAAAATGCAGTTGAGTGTCATCATTTTTTGGCACATTAACATGTTACAAATAAAACTAAATCAAGAATCAACAAAATAAAAGTAAAATGCACCCCTATAGTCATTGTGATAAATTGTCACATTAATTGAATTGTCTYAGCCATAGAAGTGAGTTAGAGATGAGAGGTGTGTGCATCTGAAAAAAAATCTACATGCAAACAGTATAATCAATTATTAAACACATTAGGATTATTACAATTACTGTTATTATGTAAAAAAAATTAATTTACATTTATTTACTTCACAATACAATACTGTAAATGCATAAAGCTACTAGTATACTGAAGGCTGAATTAAATACCAGTGAGTAGTCCCTAGTTTAATTCAGACTTTGGTATACTGATAGTCTAATGTTTTTGCAGTACCTTAGTGTAAAGTAAAACATATTGTACAAAGTAGCATAGAGTAAAAAAGGATACTTATAAGTAGCTAAAAATGGTACTTCATTACTAATTATAATAACCCAAAAGTATAACTGAGCATACTATCATCACCATTCTAATATTTCAAAAGTATATTGCTTATGAATTAGGATGACATTCAAAGCACAATTTAAATGTAATTTCTTTACAAAAACAGTAAAGTTAAATTTTACTAATCAAACATGTTATTATTACATAAAACACTGTATACTTAAAGTGTACAAAGTATATGAGGTTCAATTTCCTCATTTAAGTTTAAACAATAAAAGCTCAAATCAACTAACACCGTGTTCAGATGCTCCTTATATCCAGAAAACAGAATGGAGTTATTTTTCGGTGTATTCAGGTCAGATTCAGGACTTTGTGGGTTAAAACTGTCGATTGAAAAACTTTGCATGGCTGTCTGCACATTCTCACTTAGTTACTATAAACCTATGAAGAATATTAATAGYTTTACCCATGAACAGGTGCAATTTTGATAACCACCAACAGTGAATTTTTTTGGGGTGGTTCTGATTAAGTAAAAGATCAACTCATAACAAATTGACATCATGCAGCCTTCATAACATAAAATGACACAGTGCCAAACAGTGTAGACATAAAAAAGATAACTTTAGTCAATTTTATCAACCTGCAAGTAATTATTAAAATAAAATAGGTCTACAGGTTCCCTCCCACCTTGGTCCCATAATTCATACTACTTCCTACAAATTAAAGTTAAAAATATACCTATGAATAAGTCATTTTTATTCTAGCCAATTTAAAATAACAGATTATGCTTTTAAATCAATAATGTCTTTCATGAATATTACACAACTAACTAGAATGGATTTTAAAAAATATTGTTTTGAGTAAGYATTTTAGATTTCATTCATAATTGTTGCCCAGCAGCACCGTCGTCATCACTCACATCAGTGTCCCTCAGCTGCTGGCTGCTTTTGATTCTGTATCAAGCTCCAATATCAAGAGAGATGGGGATGGACTGAGCATTGTATTTTTTACTGCCACCTGAAGTCAGTCAGCATTGAAAATTCAATAAAATATCTTGAAATGACCAATAATTAACTGATGAATATTACACCCTGTTTTATTAGTGGATGTGATCCTAATTGTCTCATCAGACTTTTAAAAATACTAATACCACAATACATTTAAGGATGCAATCATTTTATACTTTGACAAAAATACCCAACAGACATTTCTAATGTGATCGTTTTATTCTTGCTAATAATAAGAATACCAGCTGATCATTCTGTGCACTTTAGCCAATGCTGTAAATTACAGAAATAAATGTTCACTTTATTAATTTACATGAATTAATTTACTAGCTGTAGCCAGTGGCTAACTTCACACAGGGAAGAAAACTGTCCTGRGGAGGGTTTGAATAACTTTCTGCTTCTTTGTAAAGAATCTCCTAMTGACCACWGAGTGTCRCGGGAGGGATCAAATATTGAAATCAAATACTTGTCATCACTCGTGCTGCATTCCACTACAGCAGCACTGATCACCTGYTGTTCCTGCCTGCACTGTTGTGGTGACTTGTATGGTGCAAGGTAACCAGGAAAACCCAGAGCAGACTTTGCCTCCAACAGCATCACTCAACTTACAGTTTGTTTAAAGTAAAGAAAAYGCAAAGTTTTTGCATTTTGCTGGTTCTGGCTGGTTTCTGACAGTCACGGWGAAGCTCTGCTCAGCAGGACTTCTTGCTGTGATGCTGCAGGTACACCGCGTTTATGTGCGTTTGCTTATGGTGCCACTGCGTTTAAAGACAGATTGCAACGACATGTTACCGCATGTTAACAAATTAAACTAGCAGCCAGTGAAGTTGCCTACATTCTTTTGTTTTTTCAGCCCATGGACATGGAGAAAATTCAACATGTGCTCAGGCAGCAAAGGCTCATGGGACTTTTCATAATTTAAAATTTGAGAATATGTGGTCTTATATGTGTTCTTAAATCTAATCTAAATGTCTTTTGTAGTTACTTGTATTTTATTTTTAATCTTAAAATAATTCAAAGTTAAAGTGAGTACCATGAGTTAAGACTATCTGACTATCAGCTCCTTGTAATTGGACCAATGGTTGAAAAGTGGAAATATTTAAGTATTTCTACTTAGGACAGGAGATTACAGATTAACCAGGACAACTGCTGGTGGACCAAATCAAATGGCTTGGCGGGCCAATTTTGGCCCGCGGGCCCCACTTTGGGCACCTCTGGTGTGGAGAGTTTCTCAGTCTTCAGTTTTTTTTGGTTTGGTTTGATTCTGGGGGCTTGTTATGCCCAGGTGCTGGACTACCCAACCAGCAAACAGACTATAGTGTCCTCAATATTCAAATGGTTTTAATTTGAAATGCAAAATAGAGTACATAGAAATATTCTAAAAGCATAAATTTTGACAAATGAAATTGTTTTTATGTATTTATCTTTTGACTAAGCGTAAAATAACAGGTAAAGAGAGTTGAGTTGACATTAAGATGTAGATCTTTACTCATTTGTTTCACTCACTTACACAAGAGCTTATTACAAACATGGTGTTATCCTGTATTTATTTCTAAGCTCTAGTGAATGATTTTGATTTTTGTAGATTATATTYGAAGTTGATAAAATGTTTGTACACAGTGTAATACTCTTCATATTTGTTGCAGTCTGTCCAGAACCACCCAATGTCACAGCAATCATAGGAGGTTCGATTGCAGCTGTGGCTGTTATAGGCATCCTGCTGCTGATGCTCATCAAGTTACTGATCCACATGAAGGACCTAAAAGAGTTCAAGAAGTTTCAAAACGAACAGAAGAAGTCTAAGTGGGCAGAGGTAAGAGCATTCATGCTTGGTTATCAGCAGTTCAAAAATAAAAAGACTATCTGAGAAGGAAACATCAGAAAACATTCTGGTTCTGAGTGTCCCAGTGCCAGTGTCYAAACACTTTCAATAAAACACCAACTATAATATTAAAATGAATATTAAATAACATTAAATATCTATAGTATGAAACTAATTTCATGCTAGTATTTCTTTGTAAATGTGTAGTTGTTTTCATGCAGCCACAACTGATTAACTTTTGGAGTTAATTATATTAAACCTGAACTAAACCTTGATGTGTAGTGACTGAGTTATTCAGAACACACAATGCACTCTAAGAGCAGACTTTTGTGTTAACACATTCAACTGCAATCCAGTTGTCTTCACCCAAAGCCAGACAATAGCAGATGCACAGGGCTGCAAACCAGCCACAAACAAGGCACCATTTTCAGATACCAGATCTGAAGTGGCCGAGGAGGGCTGGAACTGGAAATTTCTTTTTTCAATTGTCAAAAAAATCCTTTAGAGCGTACTAATAGAAAATTTTTTTTTCTCTTTTTAAATTGACATAAAATTAACATTTTGCTAATTTAAAAAAAGAAATACAAAATGTGGTTTTCTAAATACTAAACTCCCTTTAAGTCTTTAAAAGTTAAAATAACAAAAAAATTTATATTTGATATTTAAAACTGTGATCGCTCTAAAAGTTTGACTACCGTTTTTTTTTGTAAAAATCTAAAACTAATATTTTCAAGCAGTTATTTTGAAGTCCATTTATTTAAAGACAAGAATATTTCTGACTATCCTTTTCATTGTTTTCAGGCTGATAACCCTYTGTTCAAAAACGCAACCACCAAAACGGTCAACCCCATGTTTACTGGAGAATGAAGACACACACACCAGCAGCAGCTATTTGACAGACCTTATTTTGCTGCATCAGAAATATTTTTGCATATTTGATGCATTTACTGCTATGAATTTCTTGTCTTCTTCATATAGTCTGTGTTGTTTTTTAACTTAACTGTATATATTTCCTAACTATGATCTAGCATACAGTATACGGTGCAGTAACTAACAATATTTAGTTTGAATAAAAGATATAAAAAATGTATGACCGATGTTAATGTGTCTGGAAGTCAGATGTTTGAATGACTAAATAGTGCTAATYTAGTTTGAAATAATTAACTTTTGGTTGCATATTTTGTGTAAAACTATCAAAAAATTAACATTTTAAGTTTTTTTTAATATGTTAGAATTTGCTGTTTTCTTTTAGTTTTTATGTAGAGGTTTAGGCCAAGAAATCAACAAAATGTCAGCAGAATAAACAAATGATCTTAATGTGCAGACTGAAGTATTTTTGGTTCCAACTCCACTGAATTTTTTATCAGCTTACTGAGATGTTACAGGAGTACATCTCATCTTCATCAGTTTATTTTAAATTTATATATCAAGCTTTTACTCAAATATAAGCATTATTTCCCACTGCTGAAAGGCTAAGTTAATGATATGATGGAATGATGTTTGTGCGACCTGATTGTGAATGCTTACAAAAATATTTTATAAACCACTGAATAAAACTTTCAGTAACCATACACTGGTTGTACATTTTATTTTACAGCTCAACACAGAAAAGCTACCAGCCTAAGCATACTGCCATTAGTTACCAAGTGGCTTAAAGACAACAGTGTTTTGACGTGAAGCCCTCAGTCAAATACAAAATCTCCAGGCAGAGACTGAAAGAAACCCAAAAGATTTAGCCAAGTCATACAGTTTAAAGTCAATGCTACAAAATACAACAAATACAAGTATAAACTTATATAATAAAAATATCTCATTACCTCCACCAAGGCGAGGTAATGTTTTCAGTCGTGTACGTCTGTCTGTCCGTCTGTCTGTGGACATTACTCAAAAACTTGTGGATGGATTGTCATGAAATTTTTACCACATGTGGATACTGGGCCAAGTAACACACCAATAAATTTTGGTGATGGTGCGGATCACGATGCGGATACAGGAATTTTTTTTTTTAACACTCTGACATCAGCAAAGTTGTGATGCTTTCACAGGGCGTGGGTTTCAAAGTGTCCAGCAGGTGGCACTGTAGTGTTGGTGTGCCCCTTTGTAACTCTATTACAGGATGGGGAAAATTGGTCTTGGCGGAKGTTTGCRCTCTCCGAGTGCTTCTAGTTTAAGCATTTATCAAGYAGAAACAATTTTGTGAATCCTAACTTCCTGTTGTAGAACAGGAAGAATTTAGTCTAATTTAATGTCACACAGCAGATGCTAACATCAGTTTTTTAAAACAGCATTAGGAGTTTTATTAGTAATAAATAAACAACCACCGAGAGGTATTTGGAAACAAAATGCTTTATTTCTTATTGCTGAATGAAGAAAACTACATTTGTCACTCATTGTAACCATAATAAATAGTCAATCAATCCAACACCAACACAAGTAYGGTCATCGGTCAAAAGCAAGCTATTTTACCAAATATTTTGTACATTTAAAAGAATAATTCTAGTAAGGTAATCACCATAAATTACTGTCAATTCAAAATGCAGTATCATCATGGAACATTAGGCCCAAAAAAGATTTGAAGATAACCCAAAAACGCTTTTCCTGTCAGTCTGATCTGGTAAAGGAACTGGTTGTTATAAACATATCCCTTAGATTTCTTCAAACTATAAGCAAAATCATAAATGATGGGTTAAAATCTTGGGATTTTTGTTCCAATATGRTCCTGATTCAGGAGACAGAACCATGTTATAATCGACACATTACCGTTTATCTTAAGTTCAAAAGAATTTAGTTTGATAATATTTAACCTCCCCCTCCAATCCAGGTCGACAGAGACTGAACATTGTAGCTGAAAAAGAAAACAGAACATTCAGCTTTAAATTCATTAGAAGCTTGTTAGGTAAAATTAATTAAGACCCAGGTGAGGGAAGAGCTCTTCATGCCCAGTAAACTACATCTGTTGGGTGGAGTTCCCATTCCAGGTGTTGTTGTCATCCTCGTCGTCTTGAGTGCGAAGCCGGCAGATTTTACCATCTTTCTTGAAGTCCCTGGGACGATTCTCCAAACTGTGTTTTGAGGGAATTTCTCTAAACAGATTTACAGGAAAAATACTTTCATAAGTTCAGAAGAAGACAACRGAGGAAAAATTCAGCCCCGTGTCCTAGTTTAATATAAAGTACAACATAAACTGCACTTCAGATATCAGAGGCCAGTACAACTTTTTTTATTATTTTACTTAAAGACAACCATTCACACTCTCACTCACACCCAGGGCAATTTAGAGTTTACAGTGTACCTAACATGGTTGTTTTTGGTCAGTGAGAGGAAACCAAAGTACTTAGAAAGGTATGTGCATAAGGAGARCATGCAAACTAACACCTGCAACCTTTTGGCTGAGAGGCRACAGCTCTAATGACTGCACTGGAAAATGGATGGACATTTTGTCTTCTGTTAATTATAGTTCTTTGAGAGAGATCAGATTTTGAAAAAYTGGCAGGTTGAATCTGCACACGTATTGCAAACTGGTATTGGCCCACAAAACCAGAATTAGTGCATCTCTACAAATGTCAAAGATGTTTAAATGGCTTGAAAATTTCTTGCAGTTTTTCTGTTTTGTTTTTTTCCCCTGTTTTATATATTTTTATTTAGGTTTTGATGATTTGTAGTAGAAGTGAATATGGATGAAGAGGCTACAAAAGAAGTCACCTGACTGACTCAGGACATCATTTAAGGGGGTGTTTGGTTTAGGAACATCAGAGTTTTGTTTCTGGTAGTATGCACTGGAGTGGTTCACAGTCAAATGTGAAGCAGCTATTAAAAAAGTCAGCTCCTCTTAAGTTGAATGTCTTGATTCCCAAATGGTTAAAAAGGTGAGTCTGTCTTATCTCTCYGTCTTAAAGACAGAAGTTCAAGTATCTGGGAGTTTTGTTCACTAATGATGGTAAGATGAAGCTGAAAATGGATTGGAACTGAAGAAATTTATTGGGGTTGTTTACAACTGACTTTTAAAGCATGAAACATGATACATTTTTATAAACCATTGTGTGAATATGTTTGTGATTAAACTGGAGATTTTATGTACAGACTGGTCTGAGTGGCTGTCACAGATGKCTACTCAGAGYGGAATGTACATACTAGAAGTAGTTACTTACCTGAACATATATTCAACACATAATGACTGAATGTAAAAGGAACACTAGACAAAACATGAATTATGTCAAGAGAATTTGATCCAGGAAATAGGATAGGGTTCCCAATTCTGAAGAAAGTGTTTTAGGGTGTATTCAGACCAGGAAAGTCCTTTGGTCCACTTGTTTGGTCCGGACCAAAAGTGGACTTTATTTTTTTTATTTGGTGCGGTTTGCATTCACATTGTGCTTTTTTGCAAATGAACTATAAGTTGTAAACAAAGCCACGAGTGTGACGATCATTGCTCCCATTGGACAAAAAAGGACGGGGGCGGGACTGAGCCACAGACCCAGAAGAAAACAAGTAAATTCTGCATGCTGCGGTTCTGATGCGCCCATTTTTGCTGATAGTACAACTGCAATAGCATTTAAAATGTCAGAAGCAGCTAATTTAATGGTGGTTTCGTGATGATATTCTAATTTTGGAGCGAAATCACGTAAATGTGTCCCGCGACCCAAAGGAGACGAGGTGCTCTGCGTGTTCTGACCCACTTCATGCTGCCAGCAGAGCTGCTAACAGGAGACGACGAAACAGGTATGATTTTAGTTTATTTAGCTCAGCAACGGTGGCCTGTGAAGTCCAAAAAGGTGCATGTTTAATGCAGTTGGTTCGGTTAGAGTCTGGTCTGTATTCACACCAGAAGAGAACTAAAGTGAACCGCACCAGAGTTCGTTTGGAAACTAACCGAGACCACCTCAAAAAGCAGGTCTCGGTCCGGTTGTTTGATCCACACCAGAGTTCGCATGAGTGTATTCACACCTGCACAAAAGGTCCGGAGCAGCGCTGGAAACGAACTCTGGTTCGTTTAAAGTGGACCAAATTGTCAGGTCTGAATATGACCTTAATTAACACGACTTCCGGGTTACAGGGCTGATGCATGTAGAGAGCAGAGACCCTCATTAAATGTGCATTCCAGCCCAGCGCYGTTTGTGGTTTTATAACACTCTTCACATTCAAACATTGAACTGGTTATGAACACGTATTAAGGTAAACGAAAATGCCTAAATTATCTACTATCTACTAAATTATCTACTATCTTTCTTTTAACTGCAGAAATGATGTTGCTTTGTTTTGTTGTTGAGTTGAAAGACAATTTTTTCAATATTCCACTCTTCACTAATGGTGACCAGGTGTGGCTCATGACAAAAAAAAAAAGAATAAAAACAAGATCCTGGATACATGGTTTGGGCATGTGATTAGAATGCGTCTTTCTGAAGGTCTTTCTGAGCTCCGTTTCAGAAAGCAGGATAAGTGAAAGTCCTTGGTAAGTTCTGGGGTAACTATGTGTACATTCTGGGTTTTCGGTTTCAGAAAGCCAGATATCCTGAGTTAACTTACCTCCAAAACTTATTCTGTGAACCAACCCAGCTCTGCGGCAGGATTACTGGAACAAATCCTGAGTTTTACTGTTTAGTTGAGAGCTAACATGAGAAAGGGTCAGACAGGGTGTGTCCTTTTCAAGAGGAGAAAAGCGCTAACACAGCAGAAGTCTACGTTATGAGAGGGTGATAAGACCGCAATTAGAGGTCTTGTCATTTCTGGATAAAAAGCATTCTCAAGTGTTTTTTATTGCACAGGTTTCAATCTTTTCCTTAAAGTATAGCTTGTACAGTTACGGACCTCACCTGCTTTTTATATTTTGTCTTTATTTTGCTGCCATGTCTGTTTGGTACAGACTGGGTTGCACCTACACACACATTCAATGCATACACATGCTCCCATTTATCCACTTGAATAATTGAAAATAATTTTGTATCAGTTAGTTCGTCAATAAATAGTGTAGTGAAGTCATATTGTACTTCTACTGAATGTTTTGTTTTTTCATAAAAAWTTTTTCTTAATGATCTGAACTGAGAAATGTGTTCCTCACCTCTTAGCTTTGGCTGAGGATGAATCTGAGCTGGTTTGAGAGTTTAAAAGCTGGCCAGCGTTTCTGGATTCTGATGCAGAGGAGGTTGGGGTTACAAAGAAGGAACTGAGGAATCTCCATACAGCTAACAGAGGGAAGAGGATTGTTCCCAGAGCAGTCCAAATACCACCCCCAGACGACTGGACCACTGAGTTAGTAGATCTTCCTGAATGCTGACAAAAGAAAAAAAGATCTATTATTACATGGAAATACTTTGTGTGAAACTTTAACCACATAAATTATAATTTTCCACATAGTGTAAAAGTTTTAAACCACCTGTTTTCATTCCAATGATACAAACGTTGTAAACTTTTAAAGTGGTTTCAACCAGTAGACCTCCAGACTGTTTGAAAGTCTGTCAGGGGTTTCTCTGSGTCTTGGTTGCTTTTTTACTTTGTCTTAGTTCATTTTCTTCACAACTATGAAGTATAGTGAAGTTTGCATGAAAACTGAACAAATAAAAAACAAAAYAAGTATCACTGACAACTAGAAAAGTCTCTCCAGCAGATGACTGGAACAAATCCATCAAAGACCTGAACCAGGACCTGAGAGATCAATCATCATTTGGACTGGAGGTAAAGTTTTCTGCTGACAGCTTTTTGAGAATCACCTTGCTGAACAAAGACCACGTTGGTGTGTGAACATGGAGTATGGTCCAATTCCAGCACATGATCCAACCTCCATCTCAATCCATCTTATAAATATTGGTTTCTTGCCTTAGGGTTTACAAAACAAACACGACTAACACAAAAAAAATCCTAGACTTCACTAGATTAACTAGCACAATGTCTTCTCAATCACAGGTTTATAAAGGCTTTGTTAAGCCAACTTATGTTCAGCAGAATTTAGGGTGATTAAAAAAGTAAATAAGCAGGTAAGTAAAACAAATAACTAAATTTATCAAAAAATGGTCAAATACAAGCCAAAGTCAAAAGAAAACCCTCTGAAAGACCATCACAAAATGTGGCCAACTATTGATCTAAATCACTTCAAAAGTTTGCAGGAAAGTCTGAATTACTAGAAACAATCTATAAGCATAAAGTGTTTCCATACTGGAAATACCTCCATTTTGTTTATGTAAAACTAAAACTTTATACCCATGATGCAAGATGCTTTAGTTTTGAACGAACATTGTCTATCCAGTTATCTAGGTTAAGCCGGGTTCACACCAAATGCAATTTGTGCATCAAAAATGCGCCCAACGCCTCCAGTTGGACGCATTACGTTCAGACCGGGACACAGACTAAACGAGCGTCTGAAGAGGGAGGAGCGTCTTGGTTTTTTTCCAGTCTGTCTTTAATGACAGGTGAAATAAAGATAACAAAGAAAATGGCTTTATTTATTTACTGAGAGCAAGTGAACGTTGTGCACACCGGATAATTAATTCACCAGATAATTTAGAGACGGTTTGTTCGGTGGGTTTCGCCACTCCAGGAGCTATGAACTATTTTTTTGTCCCGAGCCCAGTTTGACACCGCAGTCAGTTTAACGGCCCGCTGACCCGCATCAGTGCTGATATCTCCAGCCAGAACACCAACTACAGACGGTCGATTTCAGCTAAAGAGCTCCTGTCCGTCTGTTTTGGGTTCAGGAAACCATCACGTGGAAAAATGATTCTCTCTGTTTGGTTGCTGCGGCGCGTCGAGCAGCAAAAGTTCAATTTTTTAAACTCAAGCGTCGGCTGTTTTGGACGTGCCGCATGCACAGAAAATGCTCTACTGCACCTACCGCTACCTTGCTCGCTGCACTAAACTGGCCGCGCTGCTCCTAGATGCGCGTCCACCATAGACTTTGCATGTAAACTGGCTGCTCCTGCTGCTCAAAACGTGTCCAGTGTATACCCGGCTTTACAGACTTGTGTAGAGTAGACTCTGGACTACTTACTGGCAGGAGTACAAAGGAAGCACTTGGAGTCAGTTCCAGGTCTAGCAGAGACTGGTTCATGTCTTCATTTGTGAACTCACGCCGAGGAAACATTGTTGCTAATGCGAAGTTACCATAACGATTTCCCACCGTCTGAAAAAAAGAAACACACTGGTTCTGTATAATAGATACAGGTACATTTAATATATCGCAGTTTGGGAAAATTTGATTTAAACATGCAATGAATTAAAAATAAATAAATAAATAAAAAGTAGATGTATTATTTTTAAAACAATTTGAATCAAACAGCTAAGTTTGCTAACCTCTGTTAATCTACAACCTTTATAGGATACTACTAATAATTAATGGTCTCACTGCACTGAAAATAGATCATATGACTACTGGTCATTGATGAGCAGGGGTCATCTTCCAAAGAACTTTGATCTCCAGAGTAGAATAAAAGACACCGAACCTCACACTGATTCCATCTGATTATCGCAGTGTTTGTGCAGCAAACAAAAAACTCTGATTGTGAATCTCAATACTCTGTCAAATATTAAAATTAGTAAACAATGATGAAACCAAAATGATTCAACCTTTACTCACATTACCAGTCAGCCTTTAATCAACAGAAAACCTGGGACTTTCCTGCCGTTAGGCAACAGATCTAAATATTGTAAATTAGCTGCTCACAGATAAGTATCGTTTTAAAATTACAATTTTAAGAACTATGACACAACTAAACATAACACAATCACAAGGCCTAATGTAACATTATTAAAACTGCCAGCAGCAGGTATTTTCAAGACTGCAATACAGAACTGAGCAGCAAATGTATTCCTGTTCATACCAGAGCTGCAGCAGTTTCAATTTATGAACAGTAGGTGTCATTAATGAGAAAAGAATACTATTAAACAGCAGGAAGTACAGTAAAAGAAAAGTTGTCCACTTTAACAATTAAAAAGAGGGATTTCTTCCTCGTACAAGTGACTACACTGATTCTAATTCTAGGTGCTGTAAAATGCTTCTAATTGCGTTCGTTTGATGGCAGTTATGGGAAGAAACGTGTGCCAGCAGAAACTGAATTAGAACTGCTCAGATTGAATCAGTATTTGCATATTTTTAAATTAAATGCATTAGTTTGAACTGAATTTCACTAAATTGAAACAGAATTTAATGGCTTGAATCTGAATTAATTTGCCTTGAAACTGTATTTTGTTGTATTAAAAATTCAGAGTACTTTCACTTTCAGTGCTCCAATTCAAATTAATTTCCAAAATTCAAAATTTTTGTGTCACACATCCAGTTCTTTCAGACAGCCACAGAGTAGTCAAACACAGATCGACTGATTTACATTTCACATCAGTGAAATGTAAGCAATGTAGGTGTTCTCTCAGTAATGCAACAGAGTGGATGTAAAAAGTTATGAAAAAAAAAGACAAGGTTATTTTATTGCTTAGTTTATTTTATTAATTTTACCCATAAAATGTTTACATTTAAATCTCATCATGGATCAGTCAGCAGCAGCATCACACTGACATGATTTATTTAGAGTCTGGATAGGTCTGCAGCTAGGAGGACTGAGCCACCTATTGGTGCTTTGAGACCCGGGAGGGCCTCACAGCAACAGCTGCTGCTCATCAGAGAGATGCATTCATGCATGAGTCTAAAGTCTAAATAACAACAGAAAGAGAATCACTAGACTTGTGCTAGTCGCATTTCTTAAACACGGTCACTAGAAGGGTCTGAAAACTCACTAAACAGGCACCACTGTGTTCCGCAACTAGCCAGCTCTCTCTCATGTCAGACAGCCATGCATTGAAACAGTCAAATAATTTAGATTTTTTTATTACTTATCGTACATATATGATAATTAACATATGTCTGGCAATGCATATTACTTCTTCCTCGAGACTGAATGCCTACATTGCTGTCCAGGAAGTTTTACTGAGGTGAAACTTAACTCTGTCGATCTGTGTTTGATTACTCTGGCTTTCTCAAGGATCCAGATGTGTGACACAAAAACTTTATTTTGGACATGAAATAGAATTATAGAACTGAACGTGAACGTAATCTAACTGAATTTGTAATACAACAAAATACAGTTTTCAAAGCAAATTAATTCAGATTTAAATCTTTCAAATTTCACATTATGCAAATACAGATTCAGTCTGAACATTTCAAATTCAGTTTCTGATGGCACAAGATTTTTACCATAGACCGGGGTGTCAAACTCATTTTCACCGAGGGCCACATGAGCGTTATGGTGGCCCTCGAAGGGCCAGCTGTAATGAACTTTGATGTTTCATGTTTAACTTTGACTAAACAGTGTTTTACACGTCCTCTTTTAACACTGATAAGAACTAAGTGTACGGCTGACTAAATTTGAAATAAATACAGAAATATTATTAAAAGTAAAACTAATAAAGTTTTACTCACTGATGAGTTTCTAGTGAGTACAGTAGCTAGCACGCATTATGGCAGATTTAGTTTGGGGTGGATGCTGACTTTAAAGCAGCTAATTTCTGACAGCTCCGTTACTTAAAGCCAACAGCTCAGGGGCAGGACAATTGTTATTATCTTTCACCTTTTTAATTTATTTTGTTGCATTTAATCATAAAATTTAAGTTTACCATTGATATAGGAAACAATTTTCATGTTAAGTAAAAAAAAAACTGCAACTTTTAAGGACTAGTTTGACAGAAAATTATTTAGAGAAGTTYATAAAAAGTGTATAAAACAAACAAACCTCAGCAGCAAAGTCCCAAGCCTCCTGTAGTCTGCTTTGTGAGGAGAACTGGTTGGTGAAGGATGAACCGTCTGGGAGTCTGAACTGTATCCTTGTAATGGTACTGAACACACACACAATGAAAATTGACAAATGTATACATCACTTTTAGTTTTCCTACTATTATGATCAGGTTTGGGGCACACTGACTTTACATAGATTTTTAATAGTCTATAGAAGGTCAATATACCAGAAGTAGGGCTGGGTATCATGGCCAATTCTCTAGATCGATTTGATTTTGATTAATAAGGTTCTGAATAAAGTAAAAGTAAAATGATGAAGCAACTGGACTTCTGTTTTGGAACTGTAAACACATGGAGCTACAGATTTTAACAGCATGACTTGAGGTTAGTGTCCTATCGATACTTCACCTGCACCTCACTGATGAAAAAGTCAGAATGTGACATGAGCGTTCACACTGCAGTCGCTTTGAAAAACATCAGATATGTATTTGATTTAGTACCACATACTGAAACAGCTTGGGTCGGATTTGAAAAAAATCGGATTTKTCGCGTCCAGACTCTGCTCTCCATGATTGTTCTAAAAACAGCAGAACCGTCCTGTGAAGAAGTGGGCGGAGTCTCCACTTGGTTTACCAGGTGACGGTCTGGGCTCAGGTTGGGGTGGGTTGGAGTATTGTTTGTGACATCACAAACTGTGGTGTTTGAAAACAGGTCATTTCAAGACACAAAAATATATTTACTTATAGTAAAAATACCTCTGGGTGCATTTTTTGTTGCTTGGACTGTTTTTAGAAGCAGTACAGACCCAAATATAAGTTAAAAAAAATGGAAAAAAAGTAAATTTTGCATATTTAGGCCCACATTAACATTATTCTCTCCAAATTGACAAAACTTTATAGGTTTTAACCTTGGGTCACTTGCCATTTAATTAATAGAAGACAAATTTCCTTCTGGGGATTTGTTCCTTCTAGGTTTTAAACATCAAGACCTTATTTTAATTTATACGAAATGTATAACATAGAATAGAATAGAATAGAATAGAAATGGCCTTTTTTTGTCCCGCGCAGGGTTATTCAGGTGTAGTAGCAGCAGCAGGTACATACCATTCCACATCAAGTCTCAAGTCATAATGTTCACCTTTAAAACTGTTTTAGAAACCTTATTGTTTTGCCTTTCATGTTATTTTACTGTTTTTATTCATGATTCAATGAAATGGATTTTCCTATATTTTTGTAATAAATTATCATAAAAGACAAAGCTGGTTTRTACGTTCTTGGGTATTTTTGCATATGGGAAGTGTTCACTGCTACTCTTACAATCTCACACTTTGGTACAGTGTGTGAGTATGATTAAAAGGGTGAATGAATTATTATCAGTAAATGTGATGTGATGCCCCCAACAGGTGAAACAGTGTAGTGCAGGGCAGAAACAGTTATCACCCTTTCTGCTTTTTCCCCTTCATACTCGCTACAACGAAAAGAATAAGCCGGGCTGGGATTCAATCCAGGCACCTTTTTGCTGAGAGGCATCAGCTCTATCATCTGGGCCACTGTGCCGTCCTCCTTTGCGGTACCCTTTGCAAAATATGCCAAACCTATTTCTGATGACTGCTTAAAGTGCTCATGCATTTCAATCAAATAAAAGTAGACTAAAACTAAAATAACAGCAGATAACTAATCTACTGTATATCTAAAACAAAATCATGTTTTAATCAAAAGACTAATGACCTTCTTCTTTACCTAAAACATGAGCACTTCCACGTTCTAGAAACATTCTTCCAGTGTTAGCCTCAGTCCTACTGAGCTGCTATAGTAAATAGATGTAGTAGACAGTTTTATTAAAGGGACAGTATTATGTGTTTGTCAGGCATACAGTTCAATTTTATACTATAACAATAACTATTTATACTGTAACTATGTCACCTTCAGTTGTTGTGAAATGCTGTCAATTTGTATAAATCAAAAATAAATTTGACTTTGCATCATAGTTGTTTCTAAATGCCTTGAAATTGGCATCTGTCTCTTTAAGAACTTCCTACWGCTTCCGTCACACCCATTTCTGCGTTTCATCACAACAGCTTCATGCCGTTTACAACTGGTCTTAGGAGTGTTGTATTTTCTTGTGATAATAAAAATATCAACATTATATAATATCGGGTTTGGAAAATGGAAACTCAGGATACAATTGAACCTTACCGCTGGACCAGAAAGTATGTTTTCTGAAGAACCGGAGCGAGTAAAGACAACGTTTCAGCTTGGTATCTCCCAGTCATCCTCACATTGGGCCTCATGCAAGAACCGTTCGTACGCACAGATTTGTTCTTAAGTTGTGCGTACGAGTGATTTAGGAGAATTTGTGGCATTCTCCAATGTTTTCATATTCTAAGATTTTTTTCAGATACGAACAAAATTCACGAGTGGTCCAGACCTGTCGTACACTGTAAAAATGGAATGTTGGATTTACTTAACCATGTTA